TCCAGAGATTCTTAGGGTTTGCCAATTATTATAGACGGTTCGTGCGTAATTTCAGCACAACCGCAGCGCCCCTGTCGGCGATGACCAGCTACAAGGGTCGCGGTCTGAACTGGACGGAGGGGGCAGTGCGTGCGTTTGAGACGTTGAAGCAACGCTTTACCACCGCTCCTATTTTATGTCAGCCGGACCCTACCTTACCGTTTATCGTGGAAGTGGACGCCTCGGAGGTTGGAGTTGGAGCCGTGTTATCCCAACGCCAAGGTGAGCCACCTAAATCACGACCCTGTGCTTTCTTCTCTAGGAAACTGAATTCGGCCGAGCAGAACTATGACATGGGTAATCGGGAATTACTGGTGGTAAAGTTAGCACTGGAGGAGTGGAGACATTGGTCGGAGGGAGCAGAGCATCCGTTCCAAGTGCTCACGGACCACCGCAACCTGGAGTATCTTCACAGTGCCAAACGACTGAACTCCCGACAGGCAAGGTGGTCTTTATTCTTCAACCGTTTCCGATTCACTGTCTCTTATATCCCCGGGTCCAAGAATGGTAAGGCGGACGCGCTTTCCCGACGGTTCGAGCGCGCGGAAAGACCCGTGGAGCCAGAACCTATTCTCCCCATGAGTTGCCATGCTGGTCCGGTGAGGTGGGCTATTGATGACACTATTCAGGAGAGCTTACAAGCGGAACCAGCCCCTCCAGAAACCCCGGTGTCTAAGGTGTTTGTACCAGCTCCACTTCGACCTCAACTGATGGAATGGTGCCACACGTCGCTGGGATCTGGTCATCCCGGAATCACTCGAACTACACGACTCATCAGCCGTAAATACTGGTGGGATTCCCTCACAGATGATGTCAGAGACTATGTCTTATCCTGTCCAGTATGTGCTCAGTCCAAGGTACCTCGTGCACTACCGGAGGGTAAGCTGATGCCATTGCCAACTCCTCAATGACCCTGGTCGCACATTGCAATGGACTTTGTTACCGACCTACCAGAATCAGAGGGCCATACTGTAATTCTCGTGGTCATCGATCGTTTCTCCAAGATGTGCCGGTTGGTACCCATGACCCGTTTGCCTAACGCCACTCAGATGACTGAGACTATGTTTACCCAGGTGTTCCGGCAGTTTGGTGTCCCGGAGGATATTGTTTCCGACCGGGGACCCCAGTTTGTATCCCGGGTATGGAAGGCCTTCTGCGAACGCTTGGGCATCTCGGTTAGCCTAACCTCCGGATATCATCCCCAGGCCAATGGGCAGACAGAACGACTCAACCAGGAAATTGGGAAATATCTACGGCAACAATGTTCGCGGCAGCTGCAAGAGTGGAGCCGATTCCTTCCTTGGGTAGAGTATGCTCAGAACTCACTCATTCACACCTCCCTACGCCTAACGCCCTTCCAGTGTGTTCTAGGGTATCAACCACCCCTGTTCCCGTGGGATACCGCATCAGGGATGGTACCGGCGGTGGACGAGTGGTTCCGTCGGAGTGCGCAGGTCTGGGAGACGGCCCATCAACATCTCAGTCAAGCCTCACAACAGCAAAAGACCTACGCCGACCGACGCCGGAGACCTACTCCCACTTATCAACCCGGGCAGCGAGTGTGGCTGTCTACCCGAGACCTGCGGTTCCGACGGAGCTGCAAGAAGCTCCAACCCAGGTACATTGGTCCCTTCAAGATACAGAGACGTATTAACCCTGTCACCTACCGTCTGTTACTCCCTCGACACTACAGGATAAACCCTACGTTCCACGTCTCCCTGTTGAAACCTGTCCATTATAGCCCGATGTACCCACCAATCGCTCAACAACCTACTACACCACCTTTGGAGGATGAACAGGACACCACCTATACAGTCCACGAGATACTGGAGTCAAGACGGAGACGAGGGGGCATCGAATATCTCGTGGACTGGGAGGGATATGGACCTGAGGAACGGTCCTGGGTCCCTGCTAAGGACATACTAGACCCCGCTCTCAAGGCCACTTTCCACGCTGAACACCCAGATCATCCCGGACCCCGACCCAGAGGAAGACCACCCGGTAGAGGTAGAAGGCCGTCAGGAGCCGGCCCTGGGGAGGGGGATACTGTAAGGGATCGGGGGTTGGCTGGGTCTAGACAGAGTCTGACACTTCCCCGATCTACAGAGAGGGGGAGTCATCAGACTCGATCTGGTTCACCTGAGTTCTGAGCACACCTGTCCGTAATTAGGGTAGGATAAAAGGTGTGCTCAGAAGTTCAGTCGGTGCGAGGTATTGTTCCATTGTGACTTGCTAAGCGTTTTGTTCCGAGAGAGAGAGAGAGAGTTTGTTGTTTTTGATTACCCGTGTATCCGACCTGTGCCTTGTTGTTTGACTCCCCGTATTGCTTAACCCTCTGCTTGTCTATCCCAGTGATTACCGTACTCTGACCCTGTGCCTGTGCCCTCGACTACGACTACGCCCGCTCCCTTGGTACCTCTGCCTGTCTATGCCTGGCCCGGTTTTGACCACAGCCCGCCCGACCACGATTAAGCTATTCCCTTGTCTGTACTCTAATAAAGCATCGCTATTCTGCGATTGGATCTTACCACTCTGTCCGAGTATTCATTACAGACATATATGTCAATATATTTTGAATTTCCCCGCAAATACTGTATGTACATACAGTATATTATAATGCTTGAGTTTTCCTAATGGATCTAATAGGAGTTCAATATCCATATCTCTACCTACTCAAACCAGTGTAATAATCTGAGGCTTCAACCTCTTCAACACAGGGAAACTCGAAATATCAAATCAAATCACATTTTCAAATCAAAATGTAAGCAACAGGTATAGACTAAGAGTAAAATACTTACGGGCCTTTCCCAACAATGCAGAGAGAAAAAAAGAGAAATAATAGAAAAATAATAACACGAGGAATAAATATGCAATGAGTAACGATAACTTGGCTATATACACAGAGTACCAGTACCAAGTCGCTCTGCAGGGGTATGAGGTAATTGAGGTAGATATGTACATATAGGTAGAAACCGCGTACTTTGAGTGCACCAGGCGTCTGTGTGTAGTGTAGTACCTTCGCTGACAAGTTTTTCTTTACAAATACCCAAGTAAGTGACATCAAGGAGGGATTACACACTGACATCTTATATCTGAGGATTTTTCAGGTATCATACAATATATGCAACGGGAAGAAAAGCACTGGAATTCCCAGTGAATGAGACAGAATCAATCAATTATAATATTTGTACTTCCTGGTGTATTTTATGACATGTAGTGTCTGTCTAAATCCCTCTGTATCTCATTCTTGGCACTTGCTGTAGATGTTGTTGATGGGCCATGCAACACAATGTCATCCAGGTTGATTAACACCCTAAGAATGTCTGCGAGAAGAAGCATCATAATCGTCTGGAGACAGCTGGGGGCTGAGTCCAAATGGCACGTGTCCAAATTGAATCTGTACAGCACGCAGAGGTAGAGCATGCGCCCAAAGTTTATTAGCAACATTTTGACCTGTAAGGGTCTTTGTCAGATTTACATCATCATACAGCATCCCCGACATGAGATCAAAGCCATGGTCTGATGTTACAGTCACTGGACAATGAGTGAGTTTCTGCACAGTGCTGAGTCACCAGTGGCTGTATGGAGGGGGTGAGGAGGCTGTGTCCCTTCCTTCCTTCTTTCCTTCCTCATTTCCTTCCTTCTCTCAGATGATCACTGATATGACAAGATCTGGGCCCGAACTCATAAACCATCTCAGAGTAGGAGTGCTGATATAGGATCAGATCCCCTCTGTCCATGTAATCTTATTCATTTTGATCTGAAACTCAAACCTAATCCTAGATCAGCAATCATACTCTGAGATGCTTTGTGAATATGGTCCGTAATAAGTGAAATATTTTTTATTATTGAGTCAAGTTCTCCTGTGTGTTGTGGAGAGACTTACTATATTTTAAAGAGAGATGGTACATACAGTGCATTCGGAAAGTATTCAGACCCCTTCCTTTTTTCCACATTCTGTTACGTTACAGCCTTATTCTACATTTTTGTCCTCATCTACACACAATACCCCATAATGACAAAGCAAAAGCAGTTTTTTTTTGTGCTAATTTATAAAAAAAAAAAAAAAAAAAAAAAACGTATTTACATAAATATTCAGACCCTTTGCTATGAGACTCGAAATTGAGCTCAGGTGCATCCTGTTTTTGCTTTGTCATTATGGGGTATTGTGTGTAGATTGATGATGAAAAAAAACTATCTTAATCAATTTTAGAATAAGGCTGTAACTTAACAAAATGTGGAAAAAGTCAAGGGGTCTGAATACTTTCCGAATGCACTGTGAGTGCCTTGCTCAAGGACACATCGACAAATGTTTCACCTAGTCGGCTTGGGAATTCAAACCAGCTACCTTTCGGCTACTGGCCCAACGCTCTTAACCACTAGGCTACCTGCCACCCTTCATAGTCCCGTCATGCCTTATTTCATGTTTTAATGATGATCCAAGTGATGGTACAAATCAAGAAAATTGGGTCCCAATCAAGGGTATTATATATGTTTACTTAATATTCACATCGAACATTCTGTCATTTGTATTACAATACAAATGTAACAGCTACACAAATTCACAATGGCACAACAAAGTCACGTATCATATTCTAACCACCTTGAAAATTAAACAGCATGAGCTAGAAACACACATCATATCATGCTTGTATTATCTGCTATCTCTTTCTGGGAGCAGAAATGGAATGTAACTTTTAAGTATAATTTTTTCAAACAAATACTGTATCCCTACTACAAGCCCAATACACATTCAATGCTCACTAAGCCATACTGTACATCACTTTGGGGACCCGCTGGAGGCCACTACAGTAAATGCACTTAATTCAGGTTTCTTTTACAGTGCCCAAATAATTGTTTACTGCATCCTTTTAGATGCCCTCTGTTATTATTATTAGCATGTTCTCACTCTGGAATAATAGGTACAGTGGGGATCCTGCCACAGTAAACTGTCAAATATTTTACGGTTTGGGTGCGACCCGTGTTTTCAACAGCTTTATAATGCTTGTGCGTAACTCTTTAGTGACAAATCCATAGATAATAGGGTTAATTAGAGGGGGAACAATGAAGATCAGGATAGTGCAGAGCTTCTTGACGTTCATTGGGACCTGGGGGAAGCGGTTACTGAGGATGATGATGAGGCTGACAATTTCGTAGAGCAAGTAGATGACCAGGTGAGAGGCGCAGGTCTGTAAGGCCTTACTACGACTGCCCTTATCACTCTTCCGCATCAGACAGACTGACAGGATCTTGGCGTAGCAGAAAAAGATGATGAAGAAGGAACTGCTGCTGAGAGTCCAAGTAAGGCACAAACCTGGAATGCGATGAAGAAGTCATAATACAAGTCATGGGAAAGAAAATGTGAATGACAAAACAAAGATAAAAAACAACAATGCTACATAACTGCAGTGATATAACGTAAGGGGGGGTCAATCCTCATTTACACTAACTTGCCGTAGATATCGTTAATGGGGGTGGGAACACAGGCCAGGTTCAGGATGGAGCGGTTGCTGCAGTAGACATGCCTGATGTTGGTGCCACATAGTGGAGTACCCACATTCAAAGCAAAGAGCACAGCTATAAGGATGATTGCTACAGCCCAGGCCAGCAAGATCACAAACACCATATGGGCCATGGTCATGATAGTATGGTACCTCAATGGTTCACACACTGCCACATACCTGTAATTAGAGTATAATACATTATTTGACTAGTATTAGTATTATTCCTTCTTAACAATAACATATTCGAATTTTGCACTTGTGGAAACCACTTAATAAATGTGTCCCTGAGAGAACAGTTCACACTCCCACAGACGAGTACAGCTAGGCAGAAGTTTACTTTACTGTGAGACATTTTCATCTACCATGATCTTATTTCAAGCTCCAGTAGATCACAACTGCTGCATACCTGTCATAGGCCATGGCTGACAATATGGTCTGTACAGCTGCACCGTAGGTGTGAACACAGATGGCCTGAGCATAGGCACTGTTGTATGGAATCCTCTTCTCCCCCGTCAGGAAGACTACCATGAGCTGAGTCATCACAGCCGTTCCTCCCAGCAGGTCACAGGCAGCCAGGTTACACACCATCACATACATGGGCCTGTGTAGCGTCTTATCTACTGCAATGACACTCATCACAACCCCGTTCCCCAGCAGTATCAGAAGGTAGGTGGCCAGGACCAGGGCGAACAGGGCATGGCTCCGAGGCAATTCAAAGCCCTCCAGCTCAAACACGATGGGCTGCCTCAGGGCCACGTAGGAAACGTTCTCCATTCGCAAACATCAGAGTCCTGTAAAAAGCACAGCACAGGAGGAGAATCCTCAGAAAACACATACTTTAGAGAGAGAGAGAGCTGTGTACAGTTGCCTAATAAATATTAGAGCTATTCACAATCATTGATCATCTACACAGTATAGTCAATTTAATCTTGTATTATTTGGCAATTTTATTTTGCATTGCCTATAGTAACAATATTAATTGTAAACTACTATCTACCTATCTGAGCAGACGGTTATGAAGTCCTGACTGGGGGAGAGGTGACTGTCCTTTATACTGTTAATGGCCCTGCCCCCAGTAGGAGTTGCTCCATCTTTCTATCCATCCATCATACGACACCCTGAGAACACACTAACAAGTACTGAAGTGACGTGATTCTTAGGTGGGATCTCTGGAGACAGATGACAGCTTAGAACACTTCAAGAAAGTTCCTCTAACCTTTTCACGCGAGTTCCAAATATCTCTAACGATCACCCCAGCATGATGTTTTTTTTGTGCGTGATATGTCAGAATGCACTCACTGTTCCAATATGTTATTGTTACGCAACAGGACAGTTAACCCACGCTGCCCTCAAACTAAGGCATGCTGCCTTCTTATTATCCATAGGCTATGTTACAACTTGTCAATTTCTAATTATTTTCTTACAAGTTAGATTTTCGAACAACAGTTTGAATTGAGGTGTATTCCGGCTCCTCATTAATTCACATAAGAAGTAGCCCATTTCACTGTTGTGGACAATTTAGTTTTGAGGCTTTACTGAGCCGGACAAACTTCTCTCTTCGATGAGAGCCCAAGCACTTCCCCAGTGTTTCCCAAGATCAAGTATGCAGACATTTGCGCATCTCTAGTCAGAACTGGCCCTGAACAAACTCTTTCCCCTTGGCACATTTTCTGGCTGGTGCCCGCATTGCCTTCATTGTTGTTTTCCTTACAAATAATAACTTTGGACATGTGTGCGTTCCTATCAAAGTAAGTGCCTTATTTTCTGTATATCGTGTTGTCGTTTCTACTGTAGCATACCTTATGTATGTATGGAGCATAATGAATTTACAGTTTTATTCACATTTTCAAGTACTGGTGACAAATCATGCATTCCGATTCTTGCATAGATTGTAATGGATGTGTGTAAAATGCTTTTTTGAAGTTGTACTGATTATGATGAGCTAATGCTAAGCTATTTGCCATCTATGGTTGTCACGTAAGCGTCTGTCAGACCAAATATGTTATAAAAATGAGGTGAAGGGATAGGTCATTCGACTGACTTATGGTGCTTTCAAGACAACTGGGAACTCGGAAACATACAAGGTCAAATCATGACATCAGTGATCTTCAGGTCGGAAAGTCAGAGCTCTAGAAAGAGGCCCGAGTTCCCGAGTTGGAATTCCGAGTTGGATGACTGTTTTTCCCAGTCGGAGCTCGTTTTTTCAGAGTTCCCAGTTGTCTTGAATGTACTGAAGTCGGAAGTCGGAGATTTCCGAGTTCCCAGTTCCCAGTTGTTTTGAATGCAGCATCAGATTGTAACTATCAGGGTTGCCAGCTCAGACCCCCTTTTCAGGGGTTTTATTTTTATTTTGCGTATAAACTTCTCCTGTGTTTGCCCTCCATTTATTGATAAATCCCCCATCATAGTAATATTTTCTGCATCATACCTTCCCCCATTTCTACCCCTCATGGACTTCAAAACCCCCCACAAATGAAATGAACCCCCCACAAACCCCCCTAAAATGGTTTCATCCCTGTTTAGCTTTCATGCTACGGTTAGGCTAGGCAGTAGGTTTGTATTTGGGGTGATGATCTGTGAGGTGATGCCATTTTATTTGCTTTGTGATTTGTCTAAACGGTAAATGACTTGTCAAGTCATGTGCTCCGGTTCTTGTATACACTGTAACAAGTATATCGATGATTTGTAATATAATGAAAAGTGGCCAAACTAAGTTAATATTTTTCAGGCAATGGGCGCAGCCATCTTTCACTTTAACTTTGTTTATTTGCGTTTTATAGTGAATGGCATTCTGGGATTAGGGAGTTTTCATTTGTCAAACATAAACAAACATAGGTGCCATCATAAAGAATTTTGCTGCTGTTAGCTTAGCTGACACGCATCTCTTTTCTAAACAATATTACATTTCTCTCTTGTGCTCACCAGAGATGTGGTACATTGTAAACAAGTCTAGCTGTTAGGTCGCTAACTTATGTTTTCTTTTTTGTCAACTCAACCTGTTATTTAGACTGGTATATGGAATGAGTTTGGCTGTGGATGTGTTCCATGTGATGTTTGGATGATAAAGTTCGCATTTATCTTTTACAATAAAAGGGGAAATTGAGGAATAAAGTTGTGAAGACCTTTATTTCCCATCTGTACAAAACATTGTTTAGATGATTTTCAGACATCAATGCTGTTTAGACGCGTTTGTTGCATCATACGTTCTGTTGCTACTGTTCCAATCACATATTTGTGATGGTACGCTGCAGGGACCACTCAACAATGATCACAAATATGTGATCGTACTCATTAAAGGGTTAATGAGGCCTGTTCTAGCTTTATCCCCTCAAACATTCCCCTTAAAAAGTTATTATTGCCCACCAAACGAAATCAAGGAAGTTCTGTTCGGTAATATGATGGTTACATGTTCTGTTCAGCATTGGATGCTTAGAATGCTAACGTGAGTGTCCATAGGAATCCATTGACCTGATGCTAACGTCCTAAACTGGTCTGAAAACAAATCACTGTGGCTATACTCCAGTAACATGCTAGAAGCTCTACAGCAGGGGTTCCCAAACCTTTTTGGCCCGTGACCCCATTTTTATATATATTTTTAAATCCTGAAACCACCATGTTAAAAAGAAAAATGTAATCAACAGCGAACGTTTACTTTTTATTTGGCTCTATGACAGTCTATTACAAATCAGTCAATCTGAAGGAAGTATGGTTTGAAGTTACTGAAATATAAGGTATTGGGAAGTTTAGAAGATCATCAGGCAATAATTGTGTATGCATGTTGCTTTCAATAGTACTGTTTTTTCTCCCCAGTCTGATTTGGTGCCTGGTCCTGTCCACTTTGGTCAAGTCCACTCTGTATGAGCCCTGCACGGCTTGTAAGCATTGAAGAAACCGAAAAAACGAATCTGTTCCTTAGAGTCTTTGCTTTCAGGAATGGGGTCATAATAGCTTATAGCTCCAACTGTTAAAAGTTAGAGCCACATTTTGTAAGAAGAAAATCAAATCATATTTTATTTGTCACATGCTTCGTAAACAACAGGTGTAGACTAACAGTGAAACGCTTACTTCCCAACAATGCAGAGAGAATAAAAAGAGAAATAATAGAAAAATAATAACACAAGGAATAAATACACAATAAGTAACGATAACTTGGCTTTATACACGGGTTACCAGTACAGAGTCGATGTGCAGGGGTACGAGGTAATTGAGGTAGATATGTACGTATAGGTAGGGGTAAAGTGACTAGGCAACAGGATGGATAGAAACCGCTCTGTACCAATCGCATTTAGCGGATATCGGAGGTGACTAACGTAACCGCAGTTCTATGAACCCAAGCTGCAACTTTTTTTCTTCTTCATAGTTTCTCTCGGGACCCGTAGTTTGGAAAACGCTGCTCTACAGATTCAAACCCATGCCATTTGGAATCAGATTTGACCCCAGATTTTTCCAGAAGATGATGATTCTTCTCCTGACAGGGATTCCCAGGGTGTCAATATTTAGATGACATTATTTTACATGGCCTATCACGGACAGAGCATGATTCACACCTGTAGCAGGTTTTCAGATTCCCATCCCTACATTGAACCAAGGACAACACAGACAAGTATTTGCTTGTGTGGTGGCAGAGAATTGCACACTCACAAAACCTACTGGTTATTAATAATGACCTGCATTCATAATAAGAAGAAGCCATGCCACTGCCTTGCACAACTTTGCAGGAGATTCTTTGAAGAAACTGTTTTGCCAGTAAGGTTTTACAGACACCATAAAACAGATATTGGCCTACAGTTGACCTCCATAGAATACACTGTCTACCTATGGACAGAGATCCATCAAGCACAGTCATCTGTGTACCACCCCTAAACATATGAAAAGGTTAAGTGCCTGAAGAGAACCCTGGAGGAAGAAATATGGGCTTGCCTGTCCTACCTACAAGTCTTTTCATGTCGCTTTGTGCCACTCCTCAAAATACCAAAAGACCTCAGCTTACCACTCTTGTGGCTTAAATCTCTTTTCCACTAGAGGCCAAAATCAGAATGGTGTACATCCAGAATGTTTAAAAAAAAGTGATGTATGATACCTTCTGGTACTGCTGGGGAACGGGGTTGTGATGAGTGTCATTGCAGTAGATAAGACGCTACACAGGCCCATGTATGTGATGGTGTGTAACCTGGCTGCCTGTGACCTGCTGGGAGGAACAGCTGTGATGACTCAGCTCATGGTCGACTTCCTGGCTGGGGAGAAGAGAAAAGTGTACACCTGCGCCATTGCTCAGGCCATCTGTGTTCACACCTACGGTGCAGCTGTACAGACCATACTGTCAGCCATGGCCTTTGACAGATATGAGAGGAAAAGTTTTCATAATGTGCTGGTAGTGAGTGGTGTTCACATATCTTCCCCAAAATACAGAGAACAGTGCATACCCACATGAAAAAAATACTACCGTTTACTATACAATACTACAATACTTAGAATTCTGTATGCTGAAGAATATTATACAACACACTGTAGTATCCCTCGATCATGTGTAGTACTTGCTATAGAATACTATACTGCACACTGTAGTATCCCTCGATCATGAGTAGTACTTAACTTTCAGTCATGAATAGTACTTACTATAGAATGTTGTACTACATTGCAATAGAACAGGGGTATTCAACTCTTACCCTATGAGGTCCGGAGCCTGCTGGTTTTCTTTTCTACCCGATGATTAATTGCACACACCTGGTGTGCCAGGTCTAAATAAGTCCCTGATTAGAGGGAAACAATGAAAAAAAGCAGTGGTACTGGCTTCGAGGTCCAGAGATGAGTTTGAGGGCAATAGACTGTCCCATAAGACATTTTACCATAGTGTACTAAAGTATGTACTATAGTTTACCATAGTATACCGTGGTGCATACTATGGTACAAATAAATGTACATTAATATATGGCATTTATTTATCATGTACACCAGTGATGGGCAACTCTAGTCCTCGGGGCCTGATTGTTGTCACACTTTTGCCCCAGCCCAAGCTAACACACCTGACACCAATAATCAACAAACTAATCATGATCTTCAGTTTAGAATGCAATTAGTTTAATCAGCAGTTGTTTGCTAAGGATGGGGAAAGTGTGACACCACTCCGGTCCCCGAGGACTGGAGTTGCCCATCCCTGATGCACATAAATAATGTGTTGTACTGTAAATATTTAGCCATTAGTTTGAAAAACATTATTGTCATTGCACAGTAGAGTTAACATGAATCAGGTGGAAAGATGGAAATAATTCCATGAATAAGAACATTTTATTTATGGGAATAAATAATGGTTCACCCTCATAGACACAATGTCTCTGATAACTAGTCCATCTCAAAGAGAGAAATGTCAGTTGAGAAAAGCAAGTCAAGTGTGAATACTACTAGACGACTACAAGAGGTATCTAATTCCTATTTAAAGGTAAGCGGGTCACCAATAGCCATCAGTGAGAGAGGAACATTTTTGGAGTCTGTAGATATCGTAGCGACAGCCACCTATTAGAAAATTTGGAGGTGTGACTTGATGGAGGCGTGGCTTTTAGTTAGCTAATTTTGGCCACCCGTGAGAGTGTATGTCATGCCAAATTAATGTGTTATGTTGTATGCTAATATTAAAAGCTAAGCTCCATTGCTGCCAGTTCAGTGCCTTCAGAAAGTATTCACACCCCTTGACTTTTTCCACATTTTGTTGTCTTCCAGATGGAATTGAAAATAGATTAAATAGAGATTTTTTTGTCACTGGCCTACACACAATACCGCATAATGTCAAAGTGGAATTATGTTTTTTGAAATGTCTACAAATTAATTAAAATTGAAAAGCTGAAATGTCTTGAGGCAATAAGTATTCCACTCCTTTGTTATGGCAAGCCTAAATAAGTTCAGGAGTAAAGATTTATAAAATAATATATATATATATATATATATAAAAGGAAAAATAAATACAAAAACTAAAAAACAATATCAATATAAAACAAATGAAAATTTAAAATATACTCTAAAAACAAAAAATAACAAAATTAGAAAAATATAAAATAAATATAAAAGAAAAAAGATTTTAAGAGATTAAAAAAAGAGAAATAAATAATGAAAAAATTAAGAAAAAATAAAATGTAAAGAGATTGTCCCACTAGCTATCATAAGGTGAATGCACCAATTTGTAAGTCACTCTGGATAAGAGCGTCTGCTAAATCATGTAAATGTAATGTAAATGTAAGATGTGCTTAACAAGTCACATAATAAGTTGCATGGACTCACTCTGTGTGCAATAATAGTGTTTAACATCCTTTTTCAGTAACTACCTCATCTCTGTACTCCACACATACAATTATCTGTAAGGTCCCTCAGTTGAAAAGTGAATTTCAAACACAGATTCAACCACAAAGACCAGGGAGGTTTTCCAGTGTCTTGCAAAGAAGGGCACCTATTGGTTAGATGGTAAAAAAAAAAAAAAGAAGCAGACATTGAATATCCCTTTGAGCATGTTGAAGTTATTAATGACACTGGATGGTGTATCAATACACCCAGTCACTACAAAGATACAGGTGTTCTTCCTTCTTAACGAAACCACTAAGGGATTTCAACATGAGGAAAATGGCGACTTTAAAACAGTTACAGAGCTGTGTAATTGGTATGCTGACTGCAGGAATGTCCACCAGACCAGTTGCCAGAGAATTTAATGGTAACTCTACCATAAGCCGCCTCCTATGTCGTTTTAGAGAATTTGGCAGTACGTCCAACCGGCCTCACAACCGCAGATCACGTGTATGCGTCATGTGGGCAAGGTGGTGGTGGGGTTATGGTATGGGCAGGCATAAGCTACGGTCAATGAACACAATTGCATTTTATCGATGGCAATTTGAATGCACAGAGATACCGTGACGAGATCCTGAGGGCCAATTGTCGTGCCATTCATCTGCCGCCATCACCACGTTTCAGCATGATAATGCACTGCCCCATGTTGCAAGGATCTGTACACAATTCCTGGAAGCTGAAAATGTTCTTCCCTGGCATGCATACTCACCAGACATGTCACCCATTGAGCATGTTTGGGATGCTCTGGATATATGTGTACAACAGCATGTTCAAGATCCCTTCACTATCCAATAACTTCGCACAGCCATTGAAGCGGAGTGGGACAACATTCCACAGGCCACAATCAACAGCCTGATCAACTCTATGCGAAGGAGTGTCGCGCTGCATGAGGCAAATGGTGGTCACACCAGATACTGACTGGTTTTCTGATCCACACCCCTACTTTTTTTTTAAAGGTATCTGTGACCAACAGATGCATATATGTATTCCCAGTGGGGAAATCTATAGATTAGGGCCTAATGAATTTATTTTCAATTTCCTGATTTCCTTATATGAACTGTAACTCAGTAATATCTTTATATTTTTGTTCAGTGGTTACTCCACAATACTAACCTAATCTTATATTTCTCAAAACATGTTTTCACTTTGTCATTATGGGGTATTGTTTGTAGATGGGTGAGAAAAACATATAAATGTAATCCATTTTGAATTCAAGCTGTAACACAACAAAATGTGGAATAAATCAAGGGGTATGAATATTTTCTGAAGGCACTGTAAGTGCACGTATTACTAAAGGGCTTTATAGTTATCCATTGTGAGGTTCACCATTTCACATTATTATTATGTTGTAGTGAAATACTATAGTAAATCTGTAAGATACTTCGGTCTGCACAAACACTATAGAAAGAACTATTGTACATTACACTACAGTAATATCCGGAAAAATATAGTAAATACTAAAGTATACTACAGTAATATCTTCAAAAACACTACAGTAAATCCTACAGTATACTACGGTAATAACCGCAAAAACACTACAGTAAACACTATAGTATATACTATAGTATTTCAACTATAGTAATACTATAGTATTGATACTATAGTAAACAATAGTATTTTTTTTATGTGGGTAGCCGTTAGCTAACTATTTTATGCTATTCTAACTGCAGGTACAGTATGTGGCGGTTGACCACTGTGGCGGTGAACCACTGAGGTACCATGCTATCATGACCACGGCCCACATTGTGTTTGTAATCGTGCTGGCCTGGGCCATCAGCCTTATAGCTGTGCACTTCACTTTGAATATGGGTACTTCCCTATGTGGCACCAACATCAGGCATGTCTACTGCAGCAACCGCTCCATCCTGAACCTGGCCTGCTTACCAACCTCCATCAACAACATTTACGGCAAGTAAGTGTATTCTTCATGTCATTCCAGGTTTGTGCATGACTTGTCTTGGACTCTCAGCAGCAGCTCCTTCTTTATTGTCAGTTTCTGCTGCACCAAGATCCTGTCAGCCTGTCTGATGAGGAAGAGTGACAAAGGCAGTCGAAATAAGACCTTACAGACCTGCACCTCCCACCTGGTCATCTATGTGATCTATGAGATTGTCAGTCTTATGATCATCATCAGCTACCACTAAATTAGAAAGGGATTTTTTTTTTAAAGCATTTTTATTAGTGCCTTCCATCAAGTCCCAAAACACTTTACATTGTACAACTTGTAGGCTAAGCATTGGGTGTGTCGCTGGCTAGCAGGGATATTGGTCAGAAAAAAAACTGTTTCAAATAAAAAATTTAAGGGGCAATCCGCAGTTGAAACAATAACAAAAAGCTGAGAGATTGGCCTGAAGAAATGTAACCACTCTTAAATTCATAGACATAGCTATTGATGCAAGGACTGACCATCCAAGTTATCCAATTTAGTGTTTTAAGCATATTTTGAGTGTTTGTTTACATTTACAATGTTTACAAACATTGGAGTAAAACAATCTTATATTTTGAGTTCTGGGGCCTGTTGCACAAAACTAGGATAAGGGATTAAGCCAGGATATCTTGGTGATCCTGGCTCAATTGATCCGTAATCCGGTTGCACTAAAGATGGATAGGGGGCAGGAGGATATGTTATGGTATAAATTACCATGGAGATTTATTCTGTGGAGCTAGCCTGCTCCAGACCAGGCTAAATTCCAGGATCTATTTAATCTCATCCCTAATGTCAGTCAGCAGTCACCACAAATGGAAACCAATAGTTATTTCACTGCTCACTATACATTGTTATCACATATAACTAGACCCACTGTCATTATTTAAACGTTTGTGATCATTAATTTCAATGATTTTGGATAAAAAATGATTTTTAGATGATGTTGCTATTATTAGATAATTTACAGTTTCCCATAGACTATAAGGCTATATATAAAATGATAGAATATTAGGGCCACAGAGGGGAAAAAAACACAAGTCATAATATTGTAACCAGTTGTTTTAAAGGAGGACAGTTGTTAAAATGACAGATGTGGGGCATTTCGTGAAATTGTACTTCAGTATGGTTTCATAAACAAAGACATGCTGATGTGCCAGAATATTAAGTATCACATTGTCATAAGTATCAAAACTGTAAAAACAATATGTAGCTTTTCTGCAGAAAGAACCAGCCTCATAAATTTATGACTTTATCCTTTTTCTTCAGTGTGGCCCTAGTACTCTGTCATATAAACAAATACACATTCCATATGAATATAAAAACACAATGTGTAACATTATGTTCCTTTATTGAATAAGGACAAAACAAAGCAGGTAAACCATCAGCTCCTTTCGAAACTGAAGTCACAGTGACTCTACAAGATGGAAAGCACAGAATCCAAGCATATTATACAAAATGATACATACACATTCAAAGGTCTGTATATAACACACCCTGCATGTCTGCACACTAAAATAAATGCAGGACAAATCCATACACATCAACTGAACAGACAAATGAATGGATGCAGTAGCCTCCCTGCAGCCTTGTATTACACACAGTATACCGCACAAACATCATAAGAGGCCAAATTCGTAAAAAAACGAACCCAAAAAAACCCAAATTCCTCTGCCACCGCAGGACATATTTAACCAAAATTGAAAGCACACATACTAACTAAAATAATTCAACACATATTGGTCCCTCAGCAGCCGACCACTGTCGTCATCAGGGAAGATTGCCGGATTGTCCCAGTCCATGGCTGGTGGCACTCTGGGGGCCCTCTCCTTCCTCAGGCAGGCCACATTGTGGAGGACAGCACAAGCCACAGTAATATCACATGCCCTAACAGGGCTGACCCTTAATTTGTGAAGGCAGTGAAAGCGTGCCTTCAGGAGGCCAAAGGTCATTTCAACTCTGGCCCTGGTCCTGGCATGGGCATGGTTGTAGGCCTGCTGTGCTTCCTGGGGGTCTGTGAAAGGTGTCAGGAGAAAAGGCTGGCAGCCATACCCCCTGTCTCCCAGCAACACACCAGAGAATTCACCTGTCAACACAAAATCTCATCATTACTACCTCATAAACACAGTGATATTCTTGACACAGCCATGATGGTTATAAATAGGGGTTGTGTGGCTTACCTTGTGATAGGCACTGATAGATTTCAGAGGCCCGAAAGATTCTGGAGTCATGGACTGAGCCAGGCCATTTTGCCACAACATTGCTGATCACACAGTCAGCATTGCAGACCATCTGAAATCATAAGATGAGGAATATTACACCAATCAATGCACATCACTGGCAATGCAGAGTGTTCGTCAATGGACAATATCAAAAAGTTATGTTCACCTGAACATTAATGCTGTGAAAGGATTTCCTATTCACAAAATCGGCCTCATGGGCACCTGAGGGGGCTTTTATCCTTATGTGTGTGCAGTCCACTGCACCAATGACATTGGGGAAACCTGTCACACAAAGTAATGAGTATCCTACTATGTGTTAACAGTTGTCCTGTAATTTGTAGATCCTCTTACCTGCAATCCTATAGAACTCCTCTGATGTCACAGAGTCTTCTGTGGCCAGGGAAGGAGATGAAGACATCTGCTAATGCTTTGATAGCCAGACACACACTCCTTATTGTGCGGCAAATTGTGGCCTTGTTCAGCTGTTCTGCATCCCCCACTGAGTACAGGAAGGCTCCACTAGCAAAAAAGCGCAAGGCCACACAAACCATTTGCTCCACACTCAGTGCATGGCTCCGTGCAGTGCGGTGCTTAATCCTGGGACCCAGTAGTCTGCATAGATACCTGATGCCATCTGCAGAAAACCTGTATCTTTCATATAGATGGTCATCAGGGAAGGCCAGTGGGTCCAACCGGTCCCTGAAGACCCTTTCTCGCCTGAAGGCTCTCCTCAGCACAAGTGCTTCTTCATCCACCACATCTCGCACGAATGGGCATGCCATTGTCAGAGCAGAAAGGAACACACAATTTTGGGCCTTCATATAGGCTAGTGGCCACACCTGGTGCTGGGGGGGTGGGCAAAAGAGGGCGATGCCTTATAACGATGACTTGGTTGTACTGATTGCTGGGAAAATAAAAAAAACCTTAGAAAGATGCCACCGTCCTGTGTGCTCACAATAAGAGCTCATATGTCATGGCTCACTTGACTTTACGAGAATATACCTAATTTTTATTTTGAGCTGTGTCATCTTCTTGGAGCTGGGGGAGGAAAGAAAAATAATGATTAATACATTTGTGTTACAGTTAGCATACAGTGTACATTGAAGGCATATCTCACCTCCCTCTCAAGTTTTTTTATTTCAAGGTCCAGTTTCCTAATTGTCCTCTTTTTTATTTCGGACTCCAGTGCAAGATTTTCCATCTTTTTCTTCTTGTACTGAATGTCTATGTCTGCCAGTTCTATTTGGCGCCGGAGGTGGTTGCCATACAACTTTCTGATAGCTTGTGAGCTCTGTGAACACAATACAATTAGCGCAGCTGGAATTTGGCAGGATGTGGTGTCCTTTTATTAATACGCACTATGTTGCCAGGCTGGTTTTCCTACTGTATAGCATCTGGGTCCTGTAAAAGAAATTAGATTTTTTGATTTTGATGAGGACTCCTCACCATTGTAGAGTAAATAGTACTTTCACAGTCTTAACATGATACCTCATGCCTTCTGGAATCCAGAGAGATGGTCTCCTCCTCATCATCGTCTCCATCATGTGCTGTTGCTGCTGCACTGGGGCCTTCACCCTATCACATTTAATCGGATTCATATTGAAGCTAGTAGACAAGACATGCCAGGCCTACAGTATGCCTTTGATGGAGTACTCACTGGATCAGCATTGTCTGGTGCTTGTGCTGGTGGCTCTAACAGGAACACAGTGCTGCCAGACACTGCAAGGCAATAGGTAAACCAAAGTCAGACAGTCCAAATTGATTCAATATGAATGTGGTTGTATCCCATGTAGAGATGGAAGGACATACCTTGAATGAAGCGGGTGGCATCTTGGGAGGAACCTATGCTCGTCTCTTTCCCCCCAGGGATCCCCTCTAAGACGGGCCTGCCTTTATTTAGCTCCAAGGCCATGTCCTCTGCTGGGGTAAGGTCAGCCTTTGGTGACCCACCACCCGTGCCTTGTCTGTGGGTATTCTTTTTCACTGCTAAAACAGTACAGACAATGTGTGAGCAGGCACCTTCTGGGTACAATATATGCTTGTGCTTTGTTAAATATTAGTCAGGGACCATACCATTCTGCAGAATGTTCTTGTATTTGATTTTGACCTGCTGCCATGTCCGTTTTGGCCCGTTCATGTTTAATCTACACACACACACACACACACACACACACACACACACATTTAATGGAGTCACACTGCAAAAAATTACTTGGTATTTTTGTCTTGTTTTCAGTAAAAATATCAAAAAATTTATCATAGCTTTATACAGTGTGATGGAGTTACTTTACACAATTTCACTCATATCTGCAGTGCATTTCAATTAAAAATTTAACCGTTTCATAATTACAGTACAACTGCATTTTTGGAGATGTGAATTAAATATTTGAATTGTAATTGTGATGTTTCAGCGGAGCGGTGAGTGTGTAATTGTGCACTACTTACGCATTCAGGCGGTCTGCAATACTTTGCCACGCTTTTTCTCTTTGCTTTATCACTGTGGCGGTGTTGCCTTTCTTCTTAATTATATCTTTTACCTCCTCGTATGCCTCCATGAGGATTTGTGCTTCCGACGGGGAAAAGTACGCGGCTCTAGTTGCCATGGTAAATCAGTTAATCTGTGATCTGTGGCGGGGTCTATTTGAGTGAGCCGTGAGCGCGCACCTATCCAGGATTGGTTTCACCTGGCTTAATGAATCCGTGTCTGCTCATCCTGGCTTGGTCTTTGTGCAACCAATTAAGCCTGGACGCACATGTTTTGGCTTCATTGAGCTCAGCTGAGTCATTTATCCCGGATGTCTTAATTCTACTTTTGTGCAACAGGCCCCTGATGGGGTACCAGTTGAACTAAGCTCATTGAGCTTTTATAAGTTATATTTTAAAGGAATCAATGAGGATATATAATTGATATCATATATCATTATTTATAAGTCAAAAGAAATGATGTGGCAATTGATTTGCAAATACATAACAGAAATGTGTTGGTGTGTGCATCTGC